ACTAGTCTACTTTTCCCGTCTGATTAATCCAGGTACTGCTTGGGGGTACGGGCAATCACATATATCCCATCATGATTGGCAAGACAGAAGTTCAGAGCAATGCAGCTATCAATCTGGCTAGAAAGTTTATACTACAGGAAAGGCTTGAACAACACAACACAGGGGCGGGAAGGGGGTGGTTAGGGGAACTGATTACTACCCCCCACTTGCTGCTGTTGAAAATCCAAGTATAACTTTTGACTCTCTCAAAACCTAATTTCCAATAGCCTGCTGCTGACTGAAAGCCTTACTAATAACAAACTATTAACCATATTTTATATTTTATTTGTTTGATATGCTGCACCCTTACAAAGTTATAGTACTGTACATATGTATTTATTGAAAAATAAACCCATAAGTGGATCTGAACAGTTCAAACCCATGTTGTTTAAGAGTCAACTGTAGTTTGTTGTTTTAGAGGAGAGGTCAGAGACAAATTTCAGACCACTTTTTCTAGTTATTCCCTAAAATGAGAATTAAAGATAAGAAAATACACATGAAGAAGTCAGTGAATCCATCTTGGAGTTCTTCCTGACAATTCATTTTAGAGCTATCTCCAGGTATCCACCTCAAGAAAACATGATCCAGAAGGTTGGGGATCTCCATTATCTAAAAATCTCTAACAACAGCGTCAAGTACAGAATTAGTGTTTAGTAGGAAAGGATATTACATAGGAAGCAATACTCTGTTGGGTAACTGTTTTAGGAGTGTAAGTATCACTTATTAAAATAGGAGTGAACCAATTTTGCACCTCCAGAGGTGGAAAAATTCCTTCAATAAAACTGATCAGTCCCATATAACAGGCTGAAATGCCTCTGAAGAAAAATCTGATGAAACTGTTATTCCTTGTTTGTTAACCCTGTCACTGTAGACCACATTCCAGTGCTTACTCTCATTGTCTCAGGTTCTGTTGAGAGGGTTGTAAGAGCCTTAATACAAGCATTTTGTTGGAATAGGTTAATATCCAGACTTTATAAAACTGCAAGTTGAGATTACTGATGCAAGAGGACCTCAAGTACCAGAAGGGACCTATAGGGATGACAGATCCAGCAATCAGTTAAGTTCAGAGCCATAATTATAGCCTAGGAAATACAACTGTTCTGCTTTCCCTTAATCAGGAAACCAAAGGAAATCATGGCTAATAGGATGAGGTATTCAAGCCTTGGTCCAAGGACACAGCTCCCAAGGACATCTACTCCTAAAGTCTGCAACTACTGAAAGTTCTTATGTATCCTTAAATTAGGATCTTCCACTAGCTAGCAGTATGCTGAGGATGGTGGCAAAACCAGGGGTAAATTAGAGTAATGGTTTCTGCTCTCACCACTTGATTGCCTCCCTGCTCCCCGCAACAGGCCTCTATTTTCTTCTTTCTCCAACAAATACAGAGGAGCTATGCAAATTTTGCTGGGTGAGAAGGGATGGCAGTCACTCAATTGTGAAACTGACTGATCCCATGCTCCAAGCCACCCAAGCCACAGCACACTTTATCCAATGACATGGTCACGTGGAAGGAAAATGTACAAACCAATAGAAATTGTTGGCAGAGAATCTTCAGGGCCACAAGGAAGCAGCCACCTACCTCAGAATTTCTATCACCCAATAAACACCTTTGAAGTTCTTCAATTAACACTACATGTGGCAAAAAGCAGAGAGGAGAATCCAACTACTTTCTGTTAAGCCAGACTTTAAAGAGATTTGTAAAAATACAAAAAAATGCTACTCTTTTCTCTATTGTTTTAGGAAAATATTCATATTAATACGTAAGGATTTACTGTACTTTTAAAATAACAAAAATTTCGCAGCTTTACTTTCTAATATAGTAAATGTTGTAACCTACATTAACAAATATTATTTGGGGTCCTGAAAAGGTTTTAATGTGTATGAATTCTTCTTGAGACTATGTGTCCCTGTTTTCTGCACCTGCAGAAAAGCATGTCCATGCAATTCTCATGGAAAGAGAAGCTGTATACATCTAACCTCTACGGAATTTGCCCATGCATATTTTTCCCCCATTGGTCCTATATTATATCCTTTGCGGTTATAAAGTTTCACCAAGAGAATACAACAATAGAGAAGAGGTTCAAAACCCCAAGTTGGGTCAAGATCAAAGAAATTGATAAATCTTTAGCTGGACTAATGAAGAAAAAAAAAATCCATTTGCTAAAATCAGCAATAAAACAGGGACATTACTACCAACCTTACATTTTAAAAATACTATGAATAACTCTATGCTAATATGTTGAATAATTTGGATGAAAAAGACAAACCTCCTGTGATTTTAATTTACAGTAAAAAATGCGTACAGCAGGTCCTCAACATTGTTTTGTTGCAGCATTGATAAGATGTCTTAGAAAACTTAACTCTTGTTTGTACCAATTAACCTATACTAAAATTGGTTTTATCAGTCATTTCACTTAAAGTCTCAGAATCTATTCAACAATGTTCAGTTTAGATTTAGTTTGGGTTTACCATATTTGGTCTTAATCCCCATTTCTGGCACAGAACTCGTAAAACTAATAAAGGTGTTGTCTTTTCATTTAATCAAGCATAACTATGTTTTTAAAAAAACCTCCATAAAAATTCAAAAGGACTAGGTTCAGTGAGCTTCAGGGTTGGTGAACATGTGGAAATCTGGGGAGCGTGGCATGCTAAGAGAGATCATGAAAGCCGCTTCCCACATACCTCACCCAATGCATTTCTGCCATCTAGCTGTTGATCCATCTCCTTTGCAATAAACCAGTAATCAAGTCAAGTAAAATGATCTTGCATTCCATGAGCCGTCCTAGCAAATTAAATGAACTTGAGGAAGGGGGTCTTGAAAACCTCTATAAATCTATAGCTGGTCAGTCCGTCGGAAGCACAGGTAATAACATGGATTTGCAACTAGCATCTGAAGTCCAAGCCGGGGTTCCAGGAAACCTCCAATCTGTAGCCAGTGGGTCAGAAGCGCAAGTAACTCGCATCTGAAGGGTAGGGTTTTGGTCTTGTGGGATTTAGCCTTCGATCTGTCAGCAGAGAATTGCTTGTGTTGATGAGGGGAATTCCCCTCTAAATACACTTTGGAATTGTGTGCAGAATCCCCAAAAGACCTCCAAAAGACATATGGACCAAAACTGACTCAAGAAGATACAGGAAATCTAAGCAGAACTAGAAAGAGATTACATTAGTAAAAAAAAAAAAAAAACTACCCAGGAATAAATGGTTAGGCCCAGGTGGCATTCTGGTGAATCATCAAAAATTTTTAAATTTAAAATCAATTCCACAAACTCTTCTAAAACATAAAATACGAGAAAATATTTCCCTACTTGATTCTCACAGGCCATTACCATAATACCAAAATGAGAAATCACAATAAAACCACAAACCAATCTGTTAATGAATGTACATGCAAAAATCCTCAATAAAATACTAAAACCAAATACAGCAGCAAGTAACTGTATGCCATGACCAAATGGGACTTATCTCAGAAATGCAAGATTGGTTCCACATTAAAAAAAAAGTTATGTAGCATTATCAACAGAATAAAGGACAAATCACATGACCACAGCAAATGAATTCAACATGTAATATGACTGAAATTAAATGCATCTTAAAATCCAACACTTTTTTTCATGATGAAAAACACTGAAACTAGAAACAGAAGAAAACTTCAATTTGATTGAGATGTCTACAAAAAACCTGCAGTTTACATACTAGTCAGGGACCACTTTGTGTTGGATTGGAGACTATAGCCCCGGGCAAGCAAGGCCTTGAAAGAGGCATGTAAGTCTTGACCAGAAAGTTGAGAATACTGGAGGCAGGCATGATCCGATGCTAACGCCAAGGGTTCCCGTCGGAAATCAGGCCTGAAGAATGCATTGTACCCTCTGAAACTTGCTTTGCTTTGTATAGCCCTTTTGGTATAAACCAAATGTTAAAAGTTCACAGCATAAGGAGTAAACTGAATTTATGAACCATGACTTAAAGACCATTTGATGTCAGCATGTCTGACAGATCCCGATCTAAGACAGATCTCTGTTTCTTCAATCTGTTATCTATAGCTTTTTGACATGGCTTTGCATGCATGATGTATATACCCCTGCATGTACCGATTCCAATAAAAGCCACTTCTTCAGGGAAGGGTTCAGTGCATTCTCCACTAGAAGGAATCGCCACCTTCTTTCCCACCGGACAGACTGTGTCTGGGACAGCTCATTTCTTCATCTGCGACAAGGAGAACTCCGTGTGCTGGGGTCTCCCTCACATACTTAATGGTAAAAGAATGAATGCTTTCCCTCTATGGCAGGAACAAGACAATGTATTCTTGCCAGTTCTATTCACACTGTATGAGAGGTTCTAACCATGTCAGTTAGGTGAAAAGAATAAGTAAAAGAAAAGTAAAACTATCTCTACTTGCAGAAGACATCATCTTGTATATAAAAAAATTGTTAAAGAATCCACTTAAATACTCATACAACTAGCCCTGGCTTGTGTGGCTCAGTGAATTAAGCACCGGCCTGTGAACCAAAGGGTTGCCCATTTGATTCCCAGACTAAGGCACATGCCTGGATTGCAGGCCAGGTCCCCACTAGAGGGCCCACAAGGCAATCACACATTGATGTTTCTTCCCCTCCCTTCCACCTCTAAAAATAAATAAAATCTTAAAAAAAACCCCAAAACCTTCATAACTAATAAATTAATTTGGCTAGACTGTCAAATACAAGCTCAATATACAAAGAACAATTTATTTCCATAAAACATTTAATTTAGAAAAATCCCTTCACAATAACATCAAAAAGAATAAAAACTTTCAAATAAACTTAACAAAGGCAAAAATTAAATACTCTGAATACTATAAAACTTCGCTAAAAGAAATTAAAGACATAAAGACATAAATAACCACAGTTGTATATTGGAGGATTTAATACTGGTAAGATGGCAATACTCTCCAAATTGACTTACAGATTCAGTGCAACACTTACCAAATTCCCAGGTTCCTTCGCAGAAATGGAGAACCTGATCCTAAAATTCAAGTTGAAAGAGTAAAGTTGGAGGACTCATGCTTCCCAATTTCAAAACTAACTAGTGCTGTTAAAGAAAAACAAGCTAAACGTGGGTCCCTTGCCCCATCCCCTCCCCACCCCCCTCAACAAACCAAGGCTTAATTGAAGTTTCAGCCCCTCCCAGGATTAGAATTTCTTGATTGCAAATAGTAAGGCAATATGCCAGAAAATCTCTCTGCTGTCCTCCCAAAGTCAGGTGACCTTGCCTAAAACAATCCTTCCATTGCTTTTGTTAATAACTTTCTTGCCCCAACCAGTTTCCTATTAAATTATTCTATTTTCCACTTTTAAAAAAAATTTTTCAATTATATTGACATGAAATATTATTATGTTAATTTCCCACAACTTCTTGGAGCACTTCTCTATTTACCAGATGGGACAATGCCTGATTCATGAAACTTTCAATAAAGCCACTTAGATCTTCAAATTTATTCGGTTTAATTTTTTTTAACACCATAAAACTACAGTAAATAAGACCATGTGGCACTGACACGGGACAGACATTGACCATAGAAATGACTGTTAACTTATGAAAGGATAAAAACAAAATGTGGCACATCTACACAATGCATTATTTGGCAATAAAAAGGAATGGTGTGTATATATATATCCATTAACATCATGAACCTTAGAAATTTTGTGCCGAGAAAAGAGTAACAAAAGACCATGTGATTTCATCTTCAGGAAATGTTCAGAAATCTAGAGGCAAACCAGATTAGCAACAGTTGTCTAGGAATGAGTGGGTTGGGGAAGAATAAGGAGTGACAGCAGAGTATGGAGATTCTTTTTAAGGTAGATTGTGGTGATGAAATGGGCTAATCGAATTTCATCTCTAATTGAGTTTTTTAGAAAACCAACCAAAACCAAAATCCAGTGTTTTCCTATTAGCACAGACATGGACATAGAACTTAGTAAGAGCCAATGAAATTTAAACTTTTAGGAGAGCAAGCAGACAAAAGGCATGATCTGTGCAAGTTGAAGCTAATTGGATACCTGGAAAAAAAAAAAAGGAAAAAAAAAGAAAAAAAAAGGGGGGGCCATGTAATAAATCTGACAGGGTGGGGGTGACCAATGTAACCTCCCAGGATCATCTGATCATAAATTTCTAACTGACAGGTCATAGTGGGTAGTCACGCCCTAGGCCTATGACTCTCTTAGTAAAAGGTTTATCTTTGCCTTAAGCAAGCCCTGTCCATTGTTTGGGCACCTCTGAAATGCCAAAGTAATCTTTTTCCAGATCCCTGGGAGGCATAATCACCCTCAAGGGAGCACATGATCTTGTTGCCTGCATACCATCCCTATTTACTGTAAATATTAAAATCCAGCACCCATCAATGTATCTTTTTTTTTTTTTACTTTGCATTCCATTTTACTTTTTATCCAATGGTAGTGACTTTCCTCCTTGCTTTCTCCAGCCTCTGTTATCTACCACCAATGTAATCCTTTTCTTTCTATTCCAAATACAGAAAAAGTACAAAATTGCCATTTTCCAGAGCATCTTCTCAGTCCCTTGAGATTTTGCTTCTGTGCATTCTGCAAGCTCAAATAAACCCTTATACATTTTTTCTATAGGTTTGGACATTCTTTCATCAACATATATACCTAGAGATATTAGGGCCACCCAATGAAGGGGCGGTGTGCCTGAGAATAAAGGAGAAAGCAGAGCACAAGAGTATCTAAGTCTCTAAAACTTATTTCAGATAGTTCAGATTCAGATGCTGGATCAAGCCAAACCTGAAGGTCAAGCTACATGATCTTTAAATTACATGATGCAATAAATTTTCTTTTGGAGCTTAAAAAACAGTAATCTGCCTTTTTTTTTTTTTTTTTTTTTTTACTTAAAAAAAAATGTTTATTGATTTTAGAGAGGAAGGGAGAGAATCATCAATGTGAGAGAAATCTCATGTTGCTGCCTCCTGCTATGTCCCCAACCTTTTTGGTACCACGGACCGGGTTCCTGGAAAACAATTTTGACAATTTTTCCATGGCAGGGGAGAGGCCTGGAGACACAGGAGGCTCAGACAGGTACGTGAGCATTCCTTGTTGTGCTGCCCCTGCTGCTGTGTGGCCCTGTTCCTAACGCGCCCCCGGGGTTGGGGACCCCTAGCCTCCTATACGAGACATCCCTACTGGCAATCAAACCAGCAACCTAGATATGTGCCCTGACCAGGAAAGGACCCTGCAACCTTTTAGTGTACAGGGCAATGCTCCAACTACCTGAGCCACCCTGGCCAGGGCATGATTTATTTTTCTTAAAACTTAATTGTAGAACATCATTTCTTATAACAGTTTGCAATTTTAACCTCAAGTAAAATTTTATTTACAAATAAAGTCTTGTAATTTAACACATCTTGAGAGAATCTAAGTGACTCATTAAATCTCTGCAATGATAACTATGAGCAAATGTCTCACTTTTAGGCATTTATTTCAACAGGCTAACACTGCCTGTCAATTTAAAAACAGACTTAACGTATTAAGAATAAACATACTACATAGCTGCCTCCCAACAAAGCATTTAGAATTCTTCAAGGTCCACATGATTACTTTCTTCTTTACAGGCTTATTACAAAGTTGATTGTAACCTGCATTTCTATAAACAGGTTGGCGAATTGTTGTCTCTCATATGGAAAACTTTCTGTGTCTATTTCACAGTCTTCCTCCAGTTGAGGGGGGCGGGGGTGAAGGCATAGCTAGACAAAAGATTCCTGAAATTCACCTTTACAAATGCCTTTTTAAACAGTAAGTTAGGTAAATTCCCTAAACATTTATGCTCCTATTGTGTCCATGATAATATAAATGTAAAGAGAGCTTCCAGCACACCTCAGAAGTAATATGGAATCGCAAAGCTTTGGTGCAAATTTGCCTTGGGTGGAGAACTTAATAGTTTCTCATTCATGATTTCAAATAGGCCTCCAGGTAAAAACTTGAGTTGCGTCTAGCACATCCTTATAAAAACAGTACCTACAACCACAGATCTATAGTTAAAAACAACACAAAGCCAATATATTCATTTAGAACTTAGCAAACTGAATTTTGTACAATGCAGTGTCTTAGGCCATAAAATGTATTTCCTCTAACATGACAACAGCTCAAATTTATTGAACACTTACCACATGCCAGGAACTGTTCCAAATGGGCCGTATTATGACAACAATTCTATGAGGTAGGTTCCGCTGTTATCCCCATTTTCCCAAGGCTGTACAGCTAGTAAGTGGTATAGCTAAGACCTGAAGCTCTGTAGTCTAATTGCAAGCATCATGGTCTTAACTCATTACCCAAGGTTTCCAACACTTGGTTTTTTACAAATGGGAAGAAGCCCCGGAGATTATCATTTTGGCATTATAGGTTGTTATCTATCTCATGGAATGGGTCTCCCAGAGTTGTGCTCTATACTTTTTCCTCCAACACCATGTGCCAGAAATAAAAAACGAAAAAGAGAGCATGTACAGAATAATTTTAAGTAGACTTCTGCCTTAGTATCTTGGACCACAGTCACCTCAGCATAAAAAAATCTCTTCCATATCTTGCAAAGATAGACTGATCACTCCGTGGTACTAAGCCAATGATATTATTTCTAAGTTTTGTCATCAAACCCAGTGTGTATACCAGTTTAATTTTTAGCCACTGCTGACTCATTTATTTAGTAATTTTGTTCCACAACAGATATATTAGAGTGGGCTACTTGAGGTGGCCTACTTACCTTTAAAGTAGGTGTTACTCTTTCATTGTATATGTTGTATATGTTGCAAATTTCACCCCAAACAAGTCAGTGTCCCTCCACAATGTTTAATTGTTTGGTCCTGGAACAGCAATTATATAATTAATAATCACATAGAACCTATCCCTTCTATTTATATTAAATTTGTAACAGAAGTGTACGGTAATCTGTTTACTTGAAATGACACTGCTCTGCAAAGGTGTTACCTGAAGCTGCACAAAAGCCGTACTAAGTTTCCTGAACTCTGCAGTGTGCCAAGAAACTAAATAGAAACTAGGTCTGGCCTAAAATGCCATTCACTTTTCAAGTTAAAATTCCCATTTATGTGCCCTTCTCCACATCCACTGACTGTCCTTGCATTCCCAAACAGAACCCATTTGCCTTTGCAATTTTCTTTAACTGGTTAGTAAAAGAAAACCCAACTGCACAGGGAAAAGAAAAAAAAAAAAAGTACCTAAAACCTTACCATTTGTGCATACTAATACTGAATAACGCTTCAACAATTTACAGCTAACATATTAAGTTCTTCGACCCACCCCATTAAAATGCACCCCGGTCTCCTCTATCACCTGCTGTTCTCTTTACCTTGTAGACAGGCACTGAAAGTATCACAAATAATTTGTTTTCACTGAAATGATTCCCCGAAAGCCTGCTGAACTCAGGACCCTAAAGACGTGTGCTGAGGGAATCCACGTCCCTCAAGAACACCTAAAACCGGGATGCATTTTGTGCTTTTAAAACGCCTCCTGGAATGAGCTATTGCTGAGGAACGAAAACATCTCCGGCACAGAGGCGTTCGAGGGCCCCTTGGAGATGCAAGCGGAGCATTTGTTTCAGGAGGAACAGAGAATAATGGAAGTGAGGAGGAAGGGAGCGCTCGCTAAATAGTAAGTGCAAAACAAAGATTTTTCTTCTCGCCAGCGACAGGAAATGATTAAAAACAGAAGATACTCTTACACCATCCCATCTAACCAACCGCCCTATAGTTTTAACAAAATGGGTAAACGCAGACGCCACCCGCGACCTCCACCGTGAGGAGTGAGGCAACTGAAGGAAAACACCCGGCGAGGTGGCGCCCTCGGGCGCTGGCTCAGGGTCCTCGGCTGGCCTGAGCCGTTCCCGCACCGCGAGCAAGGCAGCGGGTGGGACGGGCCGGCCGAGCTCGGGGCGGCGGCCCGCGAGACGTGCGAGCCCGCGGGGCTCTCAAGGCCGGGAACCGCCCGGGCGCCCGCAGCCCCGCGCGACTCCGTCACCGCCTCAGAACAAAAGCGCTCGGCGGGCGGGCGCGCGCCCTGCCCCTTCCCCTCGGGTATCTGGGATCTCGGTGCCTACTGCCAGGAACCCGAGAATGCAAGCGAGGGGCAGCCGGGTACTAGGTCCGACACTTACCGCAGAGCACGGAATCCAGCAGGGGTAGGAGGAGGACGAGCTGGCCTCCCGGGTCCCAGAGTTTAAGTCAACTCCGGTCCGCCTTCAGGGGCGGGTCCAGCAGGGAGACCCGCTCAGGGAACAGCTGGGCCCCGCCTCAAGGGCGCCGGTGGCGCCGCCGCGGTCCTAGTGATACCCGGATAAGCAGCCGCCGCGGCCAGCCCCGCCCTCCAGTGGATCCCGCCGCTGTTTGCAAAGCTTACGCGCTGATCCGTTGGAAGCTTCAGCAGTCGTTTTCCTCCTTTAATTTGCATCAAAATCGCCCGAAATGGCTTGTTAAAAAGGGATTCAAGAGCCCCATCTGCTAAATCGCCAATTTAGTAGGTCTAAAGTGGGGTTGAAAATGTTAGCTTCCTAAAAAATTCTCTTGCTGTCGCTGTTCGTCTCAGAACCAGTGAATCAATAGCTATTGAGGTCTGCACACTTTCCATAAAACCTGTGAAAGAAAGTGCACCAAGTAAAGCGTAATGGGAAGATTTTTTTTTTTTGGTAGCCTATTTCAGTGGGAGAACGTCCATTAATGCAGAGGAAACTTCTAAAAAAAAGACCTTTGTTTTTTGGTAAGAACTTTTTTATAGGAGGGTTTTATAGAAGGAAGTAAATAAGGGAATCCCGTATGAGAAAGGGCAGAAGTGTTTAGTTCTTGCGTATGAAAAGCTGGATGTTCCTTTGCCCTTGAGGTTCAAATCTTGTCTCTGCTACTCACTAGACATACTGATGGGGAAACTCAAGAGTTAAACATTTTAGCTTTAGTTATAGTTAATCGGTTTAGTGAGTAATGCATGTAGAAAGCTATTGTTTTAGGAACTGGAATGCATGACTGCCCCCACCCTGATTCCAGGAAGCTTGCAAACAATTCAGTTTTGTGCCCAGGAGAGCTGTGAGCAATCAAGATAGTTTCTGAGCCATTGTGCCCCTGGGAGAGAATGTCCACTGACCAGGATGCAGATAAAGAATGGCTGGTCAGAAGATGAAGGGATGCCAGGAAAATCCCTGGACTTCAGCTTTTATCTGATTAATGTTTTCCCCTGAATTCCAAACCCCTTACCTATTTTTTCCTGAATTCCAAACCCCTTACATACCCTTTCCTTCTCCTTATTAAAAGGGTCAGTGTTTATGTACATAACCCTCTGTCTTCTCAGATCGTTAGTATTTGAAAAAAAGCACCCATCAAGATTCAATCCTTGTCTCTACCTATTGGCTGAAAGTGGCAGGCAGCATGAACACCAACTTTTCCAGTTTCAGTAAAACCCTGAGAAAATCACTTACCCTGTCTCTGCCCAGTTTTCCCATCTGTAAAACAAGCATAACACTAATACTTACCTAACAGGATTGTTGAAATAGTTACATAAATCAATACACAATCTAGAGCAGATCCTGGAATATGGGCTGACGCCTTAGCTCAGTTACAAGTTTTTCTAGACCTTAGCCATGCAGGTCAGCAAGCAGAAATGAACGGAAGGGAGAGGGAGTTTTGTTGCCAGAAAGTCTGATAGAAACCCTACTTCTTCACATCTTCAGGAAGGCTTAATGCTCAGCAAAATTTAATGCCCAGGAAGTCTCACGTGTATTTGGGATAAAGTCTTTGATCTCTCTACCATGTGTCCTTGCCTGTGTTTGCACTGACTTTCTCCTGTCTCCTTTAGGTTAGTAAAGCTTGTCTGATTTGTCGAAAGTGTTTGGTCTTTTCACCAATCCTAACATACAACTGATATTTGTGAATGGAAAGGGGGCTGTGTAATAAATGTTACAAATCCTGTGACTGAAAGTAACCTCAAAGGGTGATCTGATCATAAATTCCTAACTGTGTAGGTCATGGTGGGTAGTCACTCCCCAGCTCTATAAACACTTTATCTTTGCCTTAAGGAAGCCCCATCTATTGTTCTTGTGCATCTGAGGTTATACACCTTTGAAATGCCTGAAGTAACCCTCTTTTCCAGACCTTACAGTAACGATCCTGAAGGTAGTACTTGATCTTGCAAACTATCCTATAACCCAATGACAGAGATTTCCTACCTTGCTTTCTCCCACCTTTATGTAACCTTACTTACATTCCTTCCTTAATTCGAATGTATAAAAAGAATGGCAAACCTGTCATTCTCTGGGGCATTTGAGATCTTGCTTCCAGACAAGTCATTAGTTTGGCTCAAATAAGCTCTTATACAGGTTCTCTACAGGTTTGGACATTCGTGCTGAACACATTCATCAATATAGCAGCCCTGAGGAGCTACCAGAAAGGAGACTTGCAGAGAGACCAAGACCAGAAAGTAAGCTTCACCAAGGGCTGTGCTTTACGTTGCCTTCTCTTCCTTATATTTACAACTCAGTGTGCCAAACAAGGAATTTTCTTATCCGTCTGGTCAGGTTGGGGAAAGATTCCCCTAACAGATTAGATTGCTCTATGCTATGTCCCCTGTAAAAATCCTAGATCCTCTCCTCATGGTTCCGAACATTCAAAAGGAAAGGTCCTTGTAGGTCAAATTACTTTGATTGTAATAGGTACTGTCTCAACCTTTCAAGAGCATCATACTTAGCTCAAAACCTTATTAACTCTGAAACTTATGAAACATGTTTAGAAAAATTCATGATCTTATTAGCAAATCTATAGTAAGAAATTGTGAAAAATAGTATAAAAGGAGACCCTGCAAAATGGAGTCAGAGTTGTCATTCCTGAGGAACTGCCTTGCTTGTCTCACTCCATTTGGAATGTGAAAACGGGGCAAAATAACCTTTGGATTGGGCCCAGAGCAGCATTGTGAGGGAGCCGTGAGAGCAGGGTCAAAGCTGAGGATAAGGGAGGAACTAATACCAAGAAAACATATCAGGGTGCAGCCCCCATGCAGCTGGGCCAGAGTCGACAAGAATGAGGAGGAGGCATAGGGCAACGGTTGAGCCTTGCCTCAGATAAACATCCTGACCAGAGAAAGACAGAAGAGGGGGGCCCAGTAACAGCCTTGAACCCAATCAGCAGAAAAGAAGCTGCCTAAAGTAGCCTATCGCTAACTGCCACTTCTCGCCCTTGTACCCTGCTTGCTTGCTCCGCTTATGTATAAAAACCCTAGTGCCTTAGCAGCGGCGCGCCCTTCGTAGGTGGAGGGTCTGCCCCTGCGCAGGTAAAATTTGGCCAAACAATAAAGTGTGTGTGATAAAACTCTGAATTCTGAGCTCTTACTTGCTGGGATCGTAACACATTGTATTCTACACAACTGTTTGCAAAGATAACAGGAAAGTGGAAGTGACCACCAGGCTGAAATTTAAGACATTCTTTAGAATTAGCATCACTGTCTTAGCTTAACTTGTACCTATAGAAATTTCTTCTACTCATGTAATTGTTCCCTTTCCTTTCTCATAAATACCCCCTGCCTTCACCTCCTAGTCAGATTATTTGGATTTCTGCATGTATCAATGCTTTCCAAATAGCTATTCTTGAATAAAATAAATACTTTGTTGCCTCCCATTTTGGCCTTTTATTTTTAGGCTAACATAATTACGTTGGTTTAAAAAAGGTGTCTATTATTCATTTAAGTTGTAAATCAGGTCCTTGGTTTTCCTTTCCTTTTCTTGGTCATCCCCTGTATTCTGTTTTCCATTTTTGTTGGTAATATTTAGTTGGATATTAGGTTGTTTACCTGGAGAATACATTCCCCCAGCTCAAAATAGAAGGAGTGAATTCCTGTATTCATGAGCCATACCTTAATGACCATCTGGTGTCAGCACGTCTAACAGACCCTGACCTGAGGCAAATCTCTGTGTTCATTCAATTGTTATCTATAAACCATATCTGTTTTCTGTAACTATAGCCTTTAGGCATGGATTGATAAGCTTTGCATGCATGCTGTATACCCCTGGACCTACCCATCCCAATAAGAGCTGCTTAAGGGAAGGGTTTGGGGCATTCTCCCCTAAAGGGAATCGCCACCCCCTTTCCTGCCAGACAGATTGTGTCTGGGATGACTCATTTCATCCACGACCAGGAGAACTCCACAGGATAGGGTTCCCCTCACTCTTCCAAGATAATAAATGTATGTTGATTAAGCAGCTCAGTTCAAGGTAATTTATTATGTCATAATAATACTTTTCCTCCCACATTCTAAGTGTTTCTAGCACTTAGAGACAGATTAACAGGAGAAAAATTTTAATACTGCACATGGGAAATGCACATAAGCATGAAAATTCCAAAGACAGTGAGACAACATTGGATATATATGATATTTTGGACAAAGAAGAAAATGAGAAGAGGTTTTAGATTTCAGAAGTGAAAATGGGGGCAATTTACAGGTAGAGGAAGAGCAGAATCTCACGGTAGACAAATTTTTGGTAGGCAACTAAGAGATAATGGGACCCAGGGGTTATCTAGCTAACAGGATCCTTCCTAAAACCCTCCTATTTACTATACCTAATACATGTTAGGCTAAGGTGAACATCCTAAGATTTCATTTCTAAAACAGGTTTTTCTATCTGAATCTCTTGGGCAGGAAAGGGGAGAAGGTTAAATATCTTCTCCAAGTCTTTTGTTTGTTTGTTTTTTTAAATTGTATTTATTTTTACACCCGGCTAGCTTAGTCGGTAGAACATGAGACTCTTAAAATTGTATTTATTCTTAGAGGTGATAAGGGCAAGATGATTTAAGAGGAGCAGCCTAGCCAGAGACCCCCTCCCAGGTTAACTGTTAATCATTGCTTATCTGCTTCTGTAGCCCGTTTTCACATCCCTTCCCCCGCCTGGGTAGCACATCAATCTCCCACCTGAATGCTAATCCCTTCCCCCACCTGGGAAGCCCATCCGTTTCCCGCCGGAATGCTAGGGCTTATAAACCCCTATTTAACCCCGATTCGGGGCTCAGAATTTGGAGACTGCCTCCTCTGAGCCCGCGCGTGTGAATAAAGGCTTACTCCGTTCCCTGAATCGTGTCTTGAGTCTGGCTTTCCGTAACATTTGGTTCCCTGACTGGGAAACGACTCACACGAGCAGGCCGTTTGCCTCCGGTGAAGACGGCTGGAGTCGGCCGGGCGAGCCCGGACTCCAGAGGGAAGCACGTGCCCCAGTGATTTCGGGTCCCGAGGGGCTGGGCTCCCCTTGGCCCCGACCTCAGG